CACACGCCGGCCGAGAATGGAGCTCGGCCCGGCATCCCCACGGACGAAGCCCGATCTGATGTGGCAGCTTGCAGGTCTAGGAGGAAGGGATCATGTGTATTTAGAGTCATGCACGTGGCCCCGCCAACCCGCGGAACTCCCGCCGCACACGCAGGAGGAATGCATGCAGCGACCGGTCCTTGCGGAGCTGGGCCATGATGGGCTCGAGCCCCGGCAGCCGGGGCGTGCACTCCAGGACTGCGGCGACGGGGCGCGGGGACGCGGCGGAGGCCGAGCGGGGGTGTCGGGCGGGGGGCCGGATTGTCGACAGGAAACCCGGTCAGAAAAGGCTGGCCAGAGATGCCCCGAAAGGGGGGAAGCATGGGACCGGCGATCGCACCCGAGCAGGCACAGCCGGGGTACGGGAGGGGGGCGGGGGGGCATATGCGGGGAGATGAGGCGACCGGGCGCACCATTGAGTGAGTTGCCCTTGTTCAGGGCGAGTGTCACAACAAACTCCCGATTGGGATCCAGCTCATCGATGTTGGAGAATATGAAGGAGAAGGTCGATCCTGGGTGCATGTGGAGGAGGGGGGGGGGAAGAAAGATGAAGGGGCAGAGGGAGGAGACAATCGGGCAGAGTCAGCAGCAAATAACCGGGGCCGCAAAGGCAGGGACACATGAAGGATACTTTGACTCACGGCTTTTGTGGATGCGCAGCCCGAGAAACTGAGAAAACCGGTCGAGTAGCGCCCCGGCACGGGCTTCTTTCCGGCGCTGGGCTGCCCGAATGGCCTCAAGATCTGCATGTGGGCCCGGGCGGGGCATTGCGGCAGCCGGGGTGTAGGACAACAGAGAGGGACAAGGAGAAGGGGCTGTCAGCAAACGGGTGGCGGGGGGGGGAGAGAGAGAGAGAGAGAGAGAGAGAGAGAGAGGGAAAGAAGCAAATTAAAGGGCACAGTCCCGGAGGTTGAAGAGGAAGCCCCCAGGCAAAAGGGGGAAAATAGCGGCGGAACAGAGGGGGGGGGGGAGGAGTGAGCTTCACTCTGAGCGAAACGCACCCTGCTCTTCCTGGGCGATGGCGCGTTGGAGCTCCTGCACCTGGGCTTCAAGTCGCCCAAGGCGCTCGGTGGTGGCTGCGCGCGAAGCCTCCAGCTCGGCTAGTCGCTCGCCCAGGCCCTCGGTCTGGTGGATGGCTCGGTTGTACACCTCAAGTTGCTGGCTTTGCTGCTCGGAGAGGCTGCCAATCGACTCGATCTCGGCTGAGACGCCGACAGGATGCCCAGCAAGAGGAGGCGGAGGAGGAGGCGGGGGGCGAGAGAGAGAGAGAGAGAGAGAGAGAGAGGGGGGGGGGGAAGCGGAGGGGAACGACGGCGACGACGGCGACGAGGCAGGGGCCGAGGAAGGGAGAAGGAGAGAAGAAGCAGACAAGAAGACCGTCAGTCATCAAGCGAGGGGGCAGTACATGCACGCAGCCGAAAGCCCACAGCCATGGCCATACCGTGTCGAGCCGATACAATATCCAGATGCCGGGCTTCGGCCGCCGCATCGCCATTTACCACGTCCATCACCCAGTGGTCGAAGGATGCCTGGATACCGGCCAGGACCGACCGGATCTCCTGGATGAGCTGGTCGGATTCCTGCGAGAGCGAGTCCACGAGGTTGTCCTCGGCGCTGGCGCTGGCGCTGGCGCTGGCTTGGGAGGCATCAGTGGACTTGGCTAGCGAGGAGCCTCCGGCCGAGGGCTGGGGCGGCTGGCTGCTCCGAAGAAAAGACGAGCTGCGCTCGCCATCGAAGTCCATGGGGCGCTGCTGCTGCTGCTCCTGCTGCTCCTGCTCGCGCTGCTGCTGGGAAAAGGACAACCGCAGGCGTTTGGGTGACCCGAGAGATTCACGCCGGTGAAGTTCACCTGGGCCGAGCATGTCGCCGGCCACGCCGGATGGACCTTCCGAAATGCTGAGTCTCCTTTTCAGGCTGGATGCCATGCTCGGGGAGAAGAGGGGCAGGAGAGGGGAAGACAGGCAGGAGAAGGGAGGAAAGAGAGATGGCGCGCAGATGGAGGCGGCTGAGGAGGCATCGAAATGCGGCGAGAAGGAAAATGCAGGAGAGGGTGAGAGGTAGATAGCCGGTGGTGGTGGTGGTGGTGGTGGCGCTATGGTCTACTCAGGCGAGGCGAGGGGGGGAACCCGCCGGCGGGCTGGCTCAAGATTCTCCAGCTGTCTCAGGCGCGCAGGCGCACAGGCACACAGGCACACACATACACACACACGATCAGATCTCCCCGAAAGCCGGGCCCCCATCCAGGAGACAAGCTACGCCCGGGGTTCAAAAGGAAGGGAAACCGTTTCGCGACACGCGATGTGTGAGATCATGTGACATCCGGGACGAGAGTTCTCCTTTTCGAGCACGGGGCTTGGTCTATTGCGCCGCACACAGGCGGGGAAGCGTTTATGCGCGCGTGCATGCGTGTGTGTGTGTGTGTGTGTGTGCACATGTGTTGGGGGCTTTTCGCAAAAAGCCCGCGTCCTGGCCAGGAAGTAGGACGCCGGGAGCCAGCGTGACTCGCTAGATGTCCTGCTTCTCGCGCAGGCCATTGGTGATGGTCTGCCAGTAGCGCAGACGCAGGGCCACCTTCTGGGCCTGCTCCAGATCGTTGGCCGCAAGGCTGGCCCGGAAGTGCTCCAGATCTTCCTGGGTGCGCTCTGCGCGGTGGGGTCGAGGGCGGCATCGGCCGGACAGTGTCAGAAGAAAGCAAGCGGCAGCCCCAGGCATGGGCGAGAGGGTGATGAGGCAGGCAGTGCGGGCAAGGAGCATGCGCACGATCGTTCTCGGCTGCCAGGTCATTCATTTCGTCCGGATCCCCGGACTCGATGGTCTCCTGGGCCATGAAGGCCAGCATGAGAAGTTCCGAGTCGACATTGGTTGTTCCGTCATCAATGGGGTGACCATGCGCTCGAAGCTGAAGGGTAAGGGACCAGGGGCATGCTGTCAGACTTGGGGTAGGGGCACAGGCAGCACCGCCGCAGGTGTCTCTGAGAGGAGAGAAAGGGGAGGGGCGGGGCTCGTCTCCGGGCATGTACGTGTGCACATGTGTGTGTGTGTGTCCGTACCAGCGCAAAGGCACGCTGCACCGGATCCCGAAGGACACGATGCGCCTCAGTCACGGCCTTGCTCAAGCGCTCGGAATACTCCACCTGCGCCGGGGTCAGGTGGGCCCCCGCCCCGGCCAGGCGGTCCGGATGCATGAGCATCTGCTGCTCGAGGAAGAGGCTCCGCAGCGCGCGCAGGTCCACATCGAAGGCAGCCCCCGGAGGCGAGGTGGCCAGGCCCAAAACCTCAAAGGGGCATGGCTCGCCGGTGAGCGGAAGTTGGGGGTTGATACGTGCGCAGGCGCCGCACTGGTGGCTCCCAGGGGCGAGCGCCGTCCCGCAGCCCCAGCACACTGTCCCCGGGCCCGGGGGAGTGGCGCTGGAGAAGAGGCGCCCCGCCGTCATCTGGAAGCTCAGCCCACTGGGGCGGCCATGCGCCACCAGGCAGCGGGGTCGCAGAGCAGGGGCAGCCGACCCCACGCGCAGCAAGCGTAGAGCCATGCCAGCGCGCATGGCCACGAGGCGACCGGTGCCGGGGATCATTGCGCGAAGAGGCAGGAGCCGGGAGTGAAGGCAAGGGCGAAGATGGGTCGCAGGGACGGCAGGAAAAAAAGGGGGGGGGGAGTGGCCGGGCGGGGCGCAGTGCGGGACGCGGCGGAAGAAGGGCGCGCAGGAGGGGGAGGGAGGCGTGCTTGGGAGGCCGGGGACTCGACATAAGTAGGGTGGCCGCTCATTTGCACCCTCGTCCACACGGCTCCAGGGGGCGGGGGGCGGGGGGCGGGGGGCGGGGGGCGGGGGGCGGGGGGGGGGCACACCCATCTCGCCCCTTTGAGAGATCGCCCTGCCTGGATGACCAAACAACAAAGCACACCACCATGACTGGAGAGACTCCGCCCAGGCGCCTGGCAGAAGGGCGGACAGAACCCAAACCAGGGGGGGGGGACCCAGATCGGCTGCCAGCACATGGTGGGCGGGCACACGTGATCTCCCTCACTAAGCCCACAACGCGTCCAGCCTCTCCCCCCTCCCCCGAGGAGTTGCGCCGACCAGGGAAAACCACCGAGAACAGGCACGTCTATATGTATGTGGGGGTGTGCGGGAAAGGGAAGGGGGATAGAAGGGGGTTGGCCGTCTTTGTCGTGTGGTTGGCGGCATCCGGCTCTCAGGAGGCGGAAGGAGAGCAAGGCGGGAGGGGAAGCGCGGCCGGGGAAGCACGGCCGAACGCAACTACAATTCCGACAATGAGAGGGAAGACAGGCTCTCGGAGGCGGTGAACTCGGAGTCCGCCTCATCACCGGTCAGAGGGACCGACTCCTCGTCGATCGAGGGGACAGCAGCAGGGGCCAATATCCTATTAAAAAAAAAGGAGGGAAGAACCGACGGGAGAAACGGAGATAGGGAGTGACAGGGGAGCGGGGAAGGACGGAGGGGAAGGAGAAGACCGGCGCGGGAAGCGGAATGGTCAGAGGGCGAGGAATGGCGGGGAAGTTGCAGGTGGCAGGGCATGGAGCGCCGGAAGCATGCCGGACCACGCACTTGACGCTACTCCCGGGTGGAATGGCACCCGCGGGCGAAGCGCCAGCCAGGCGAAGGAACTGCACTTCGCTCAGGGGGGCAGCAACTTCCCCGGGCCGGGCGCCACCAAGCGGGAGCTCGCCGGCTGGGCGTCCCGCTTCCGGATCGTCCAGCCAGCCAGAGGCATGTGCCCGGCCACTGACAGTGGCTGTGGCATCGGTCGAGGCGCCCTCGGACGGGGGAACGCCGGCTGCCAGGCCGATTGACCGCCGACCGGACCACCAGCCAGGGGCCCCAGGTCGGCCGATGCGAGAGGCATCGCTGCTGGATCCACACAGGGCACATGTGGGATCACAGCAGTCCGGACGGGCCGGCGGGGGGCATGAGGACACGGCGGCAAGGGCCGCCGCCGCGGCGGCCGTCGCCGCCGCCGCCGACAAGTCACTGATGCGCGTCCCCGGGGCGCCGGCCAGGAAAGTCTCCATTAGAAAGGCCCCACTGCTGTAGATGGCACCGCTGCCGCCGAGGTCCGAGGAGTCGTGCGCGCTGCCGGCCGAAAAGCGGCCCTTGTAGATGGAGGCCGACCCGGAGGCCGACGCAAGCTGGCCACTGCCGGTGCCGCCGCCGCCACTGAGAAGCGCCGCCGAGGAGGAGGACCCCAGTGGGAAGAGCGCACTGCCGGAAGTGGCGAGCAACAGGCGCCCGAGCGGATCGCCGGCAGTGCCCCCGGGCAGCAGGAGATTCTCCCGAGACCCGAACTGGTCCAAGTGAAGTGAGGATCCCCGCTCGGAGGACTGACACCCGAGGCCGCTGGACCCATGGGCCTCGGACCGAGCCGAGCCCAGCCCCCCGGGCCAGTCGAGCAGGAAGCCCCCGGCACAGGCCACGACCACGGCCATGTGATTGACCAGGCAGCATGCAAGCCACACCGGGACTTCGGGATAGGCCGCGGCAATGGCCGGCACCCGGCCGCGAGCAATCAGCGCCACCAGCGCCAGGGCCAGGACCGTTTGCGGGACCACATGCAGACAGGCATACAGGACGACGCTCAGCTGGTAGAAGCGCCGGCTTTCGCGACCAAACTGAACCCCCCCGCCGACGCTGGGGGTCACAGTGGTGGCCGGTGCCGAGGCGACTGCAGATGCGGGCACCGAATAGGCCTCATGCTGGCCACTGGGCGCGCCTCCGGACATGCAGGCCCTCCCCTCGGCGTGGCCGCTGAGGATGCGCAGGGAGCCGGCATTGCCACACAGGAACCCGGACGCCAGGGTACACGAGAGGAAGGCACAGCCCCGATCAATCACCCAGGAGGGGTTGTCAATGAAGACCGCCTGTGCCAGGGGGATGCTCATGAGCAGCTGCAGGAAGTAGGACAGGCCCAGGAAAGAGGCGGCCACCAGGAAGAGGACCAGCAGCTCCCGGCCGGGAGGGATGCCGGTGGCGGTGGCCGGGTCGCCGACCATGGTGGCCATCATGGACGGCCCCTCGTCGACCGCCGAGTCCAGCGCGCCGACGGCCGCCGCCCCGACGTCCGACAGGAAGACGCATGTTTGTGCCAGGCTGGCGCAAAAGAGGAAGGGCGACACCTGGCTGAGGACTTCGGCCGGGCCGCGTTTCCGCAGGCAGGTGGAAATGGCCAACACCAAGGCAATGCACAGGGCGGGCACGATGACCAGCGTGATGCCCAGGTAATCGTGCACGCCAAGCAGGAAGACGGTGGGGCCACCGCCGCCGCCGCCGCCGCCACTGAGTAGCTCGACCGACATGCGGTGGTGCTGCGTGAGGAGGGGGTAGGAGCGGGGAGCGGGGAGCGGGGAGCGAGGGGGAATGGGATAGAACGGGATGGGTAGCGTGGGATCGGCATGGGGTTA